GTATCCATACACAACATTTGTAAAAATATTTATGCAATATTAATACAGCACGCAGATCATCCTTTTTATAAATATTACAAGACATCCTAAACGTACTGGAGATAATCTCGAGGAAATATCATACTTACAACAGAAACAACGTGCTCGTTATGTTTAAACACAAATAATAGAACAACGGCCTATAGTAGTAATGACAAGCTGTTAAGGAAGACAGTGCAAAAAATGTATATGTAAGTATGCGAATACGCGATATTGCTGAAATGTTCGCATATCGCATGTTGCATATTCGCATATTTATATACATACATATATTTTTCCACTGTCATCCTTAACGCCTCGTCATTATTATTATACATTTTTGAGATATTATGCTACCTATGTAATTATTCTAGACACTTTATTATTATACAATTATACATATATTCCTTCATTATATTTCGATGAATTCTGAATATCTATCGAAAATTAAGATATCCGCTCTTTTCTTAATATTAATAGATAACAATTAAAATTTTGCTATAAACATTCTAGAATATACTCGTATATGGAGGACGAGAAACTAACTCACTTGCAATGTGTTTAATATATGGACTATGGAAATTTTGAATTTTCTCGATTAACATACCTGTTAGTACATGTCTGTTTGTTAAAAGAGAACCACCACATTGAAAGCTGTATATTCTCTCAAATCTTTTTTTTCTAATAAGGTAGATTGCAACTACCCACGGCCACTGGCCTGGTAATGAGGTCTCACCATTGGGGATCAGTCTATTTGTACTATCGGTGTAGTAACTGGTAACATCGCATTCGGCATTGCTATTGTAACTCGGATTGTTTATGCGGTAGCCACTCGAATTTCGATGCCACGGTTGAAAATCTTGCGACAGTGGTTCTTCGTTTGGAGGGTACACAATATGCCCCAATTCGATATTGGCTAGGATATTTCTATTTGACGCTGAGATGCAACGGAATATATCTCTTAAATCACACATTAATTTAGAAGACAAAAAGAGTTTTATTTTCTTTCGAGAATATAAATAATTTCCAACCAAAATAAATAATGGTAAAATTCTTTTTACCTAAAGATGGAAAATGATATGCACGATAAAAACGAAATAGTCATCGTTTTAATAAGAGTTTTACTATTATCTCCTACTAGACAAGGAGGGGGAAGGGAGAAGAAGGACGAACGGAGGCGGAGGAAAGGGAAGGGAGAAAGGGAGAAGAGGACGAGGAGGACGAAAAAGGGGGGAGGGAAGGAGGAGAGAAGAAGAGAGAGGGACAGGAAAGGGCGGGAGAGGGAAAGGGGGAGAAAAGGGAGGAGGAGAGAAGGAGAAGATTAGTATGGAGAGGAGTAGAGGGCACGGACAGGGAGAAGAGGTTATGGAGGATTAGGAGGGCGGTAAGAAACACGATAGGGAGGGATATAGAGATATGGGATATAGTAGAGAGGATAGGGGAGGGGGAAGGATAGTAGTGATCACGGAAATAGTGGAGGAGGAGGATAGAGAGGAGACGATGGTGAAGACAGACTTTCTAAGGGCGAAATGAGGGCTGAAAGGTTAGGTGGAGGATGTTGGAAAGGGCGAAGGTAGAGAGGAGCAAAGGGAGAAGAGTGAGGGTGGAAAATAGGAGAATGTGGGTGGATGGGAGAGAGTGGATATGGGAAAGGGGATTAGAGGAGGGAGAGGGAGAGTGGAGAGTTAGATAGTGGGTCGGGGAAGGGAGCAGAGGAAAGTGCCAGATATAAGACTTTGATGTTATAGGTGAGGAGAAGGAGAGAGGCAGGAGGGAAGAGAGGAAGAGAAGAAGGATGGAGAGTGGCACAGGAAGAGCGAGAAAAGGAGGATGGAGGACGAGGAAGGGAGAGAACGAGAGAGGAGAAGAAAAAAGAAGAAAGGTCAAGGAAGGAGAGAAACAACGGAGCGGGACGGGACGCAGGACAGAGGAAATGGAGGAGGGTATAGAGGGTGGGGCGAGTGGGAGGGGGGCAACAGAGTGTAAAGGTCGCCTATGGCCAGGTCGCGGAAAAACGGGGAAAAGGAATGGAAAGGGTTCGGGAACGCTCCCTGAAAAAGCGCTTTGTAGAGCCCGAAAGGGAAAAACAATAAACTTATTCTATTCTATTATCTCCTACTATAGTAAGTTAAAATTTCCATGTAGGCAGATGCGAGTAAAAATTAACTTCATTTAATTCGACAGAATTAATGACATTATTTCTCGCTTCTTCTTTTTCCTTGAATATATTTATGTAACATTTGTAATGCATTTTAATCAAATACGCTACTCACCTGCGGAGCCAAAGCAATATTGCCGATTATTAAACCATATCGCGGATAATGTCGGAAATTTTGCGCCCGAAGGAAAATTAATATGATACACTAAAGGTCTGCCTTGTCGAATGGCTTGAATGGTCTCTTTTATCGGTCGTGCCAATTCTAATTGAAATAACCCATTCTAGAACGCAAGGATACTTCAGCTATGTCTAATAAATGGACTTTTTAGCTAACATTCGCGATGTGGTTAGCACTTAATCCTCTGACAGTTAAGCTATTTATTTCTATTTATTAAGAAATAAAGTTAAGAAATGACACGTTAGACAAAAATTGCAAATAAAACTTGTACATTAAACCCTGATTACACAACCCTACAAAAAAAATTTTTTGTCCAGCGGACCAGACTAGTCAATTCCTATGTATTTTGGGTCGCTGAATTCGAATCCGAGGTCAGAATTCTAAAGTTGGCTCGGTTTTTCTTCCTAACTTCAAAAAACATACTTTTTTGGTACATTTTATGCCATAATAAAAAAACGTGAGCTAGTTTTTAAATTCTGACCGTGAATTCAAATTTAGAAAGTTAAGTTACATAATACTTGACTAGATTTATCATATTCAAAATGGTGGATCCAATATGGCGGATGTTTATAAAATTGGTCCGATTCGCTTGAAACTTGGTACTCGGGGGTTTTTAGGGTCGCTGATTACGAATCTGAAGTTAGATCCATGGGCGTACCTACGTTGGGGCAGGGAGGGGCACCTCCCGTAGGGGAGGGGGTAGGTACCCACCCTCCCCTAGAAATAGAAATTTATTCTACCAACAATTTCTATGAATGTCACAGGAAATTCTTTTCCGTGTAAGGTTGTGTTGCTACATACCTGTATATAAGGTAGAAAACAGAAAAAGTATAGTAAAATATAAATGAACATAGTACAAAAAATGTAATACAAATTCAATATGAATAGACAAAATATAAAAAGATACGACTGCGACTGAGAAATTACTCCTTTTTTTATGGTATCGTACTCTCTTACATTCAAAAGATCTTCGCAATGACTGTCTTTTAGGTTTCTTCTTTTCGACAGGAATGTCTCGTTTGAGGTTCCAACAGAAATCAGCCATCATATTCACATCCCACCTTCCTTGATATCGTTGCTCTATTGATTTGATGTCCTGATGGAATCTTTCTCCCTGTTCCTCGCTAAAATCACCTAAATTTTCTGGGAAGTAATTTATATGAGAATTCAAAAAATGCAGGGAGGATAGCGGTGGGGGTGGAAGGTAGAATCTATTTCTAGGGGAAGGTGGGCGCTGCCCCTCCCTGCCCCAACGTAGGTGCGCCCATAGATCTAACTTCAGATTCGTAATCAGCGACCCTAAAAACCCCCGAGTACCAAGTTTCAAGCGAATCGGACCAATTTTATAAACATCCGCAATATTGGATCCATCATTTTGAATATGATAAATCTAGTCAAGTATTATGTAACTTAACTTTCTAAATCTGAATTCACGGTCAGAATTTAAAAACTAGCTCACGTTTTTTTATTATGGCATAAAATGTACCAAAAAAGTATGTTTTTGAAGTTAGGAAGAAAAAACGAGCCAACTTTAGAATTCTGACCTCGGATTCGGATTCAGCGACCCAAAATACATAGGAATTGACTAGTCTGGTCCGCCGGACAAAAAAAAATTTTTTTTTGTGGGGCTGTGTTATCTGTGTTAGATCACGAGTAAACTGTATATTTTACATTTAATTGAGACGGAAAACTTATAGTCAACCCAACTGGCTAATTATTTAATCAATTTATTACACTGCACGCTGTGTAATAAATTGATTCAATAATTAGCCAGTTGGGTTGACTATAAGTTTCCCGTCTCAATTTCTAATCATTAGTGGTGACAATAAGCAAACTTTCCCTTTGTCTTTTACATGTAAGTTCAGTTTAAGACATTCAGCTTAAGACAAAATTCAGATTAAGACATATACTTACCAAAGAATCATCGGTAACGTTTAAGGCAACTTTTACATAAAACATTTCGTCATTTTCTGGTGGAGATGTGATTTCGAGTCTTCCCAATATCTTGAATGTTTCAGGATTTATTGTGTATGTGAAGTATTCCGAACACAACATTGTACCATGCACCATGGTACAAAGTAGGTGCGGCATCACAGCGAATAATATAAAAATCTTAGACATGTTATGAGTCCTCCTGTTACAAAAGTAACAAAAATTTATATATCCTAAGAAATACTACACATCTAACATGACCAATGAAATCTACTGTGACAATGCAATTGTATAACTAATGTATACATACTTAATATTTCTATTTTTTCGTGAAACAAATTCCTATGTAATCAATTCGATTAGAGAAGAGAATCCTGGTACATAATGCCAAATAATTTATTGTCATTTATCAGGGATGTAAACCAATATGACCACGTATCCCCATCTTGTAATATATCAGTACCGTGCTACAATTTCTATCAATAGTTAGAATATTCATCACGTGTTGCGAGTTATATTTCATTATTTTTTGTTTTAGGTCTTACTTACATATATATTACTTATTCGTACTTATTTTTGGTGGAACACTTCTTCAGTCACTTGCGAAATATTTAAAAGTCTTTTTCGTATTGATTTAAAATAAAATTAAATACTGTGACTGGTTTCACATAATCAGAATGCTAATTCTCAGATCGACGTTGCTACAGCTTCACCGTATCGTCGTATGACTAACCGGTTCTCTGTCGGAACGTTTTGAAACATGTTTATACTTTTCGTGTTGCGTCGTGGCTGGTGCCAGTAGTGGGGTATCGAAAATCAAGTAATGATACGTTAATCAATGTCATTAAGTTCATAAGTCAGGGCTCAAAGCGTACAAAAATGCAATGAACATCTTTTCCTTTTTGTTGGTTAGATAATAACAACTGTAGAGAAAAATGTTTTGGAACGTAAACCTGAATCTAAGTGCGCGTTCCTAAACTCCTTATAAAAGTGGCGCAACAATTCTGTCCATCACTGGAAATACATCGTTCATGCCTACCATGCAAATATGTACACATATAACCGCATTTATACACTTTACGTGCACATACATGGAAAATGTACGTACGGTCTATGTGCCAAAATTTATATGGGAAGGCATCAGTGATGCCTAGTGTACGAACAACAAAACTTAAGAAAGTACCGAGTCACACGTTTAAAAAATATAATTTATTAATATATGTAAATTAAAACATTCTCTCGATTTTCAAAAAGTATTGAATATGTGTATCGATAAACATATTGTAACATGTGTTATTATTAATAATCTTTATTATTAAGAAATTCAATATGACAGAAATTTATATGTGGCACCTTATTCATTCTGTTTTGTATTCAGATAGGAGACACATTACAAGACACATACAATCCTCACGCGTAACTGTACATATGTACATAAGTACTGCGTCTTCGAATAAACTTTCATAAAGAAACTTATCGATTAACATGTATAGCAGTTTGCAACGTTAGACGAACGTTACATCGAAATCTGTTGTTGAATCCAGGGTATGTATTTGGCCACATCAACATAAATGATATATTTAACTAGAGCGCAGAGCGAATTTCCAGAAGGTAAAGCTCGCGAAACAATACCACGCAACTCATAACTGCCAGTGATATTATTCAAAAGTATCAGCCCGTTTCCACCGTCACCGTGACAAGGACCCAGTCCATCTTGCGAACCAGCGCAAAAGGTATTATCCGATATCATGAAAATGAATCTAGAATCCGTCCAGAGACAGATCTCCTGCAATTTGTGGAACAAACTTCAATTTGAGGCTTGTAATCAATTTGACACATACAGTTGTCACAGATATACGTAATGAATAGTAATTTTATAATAGCAATTACCTACTTACTTGACTCACTATCGTCGCCCTCACCATCCGCTGATCGTCAAGATCACGACGATTAAACTTGTCTTTACCCCATCCTACGACATATCCCGTCCTACTAACGACGTCTTCAAGTTTACTTGAGCCGGACCATAGGCAAATAGGCCTGATGAGAGGAGTGAACTCGACGATGTTCTTGAGGGTCACAACCGCGAGATCGGAATCAGCTTTAAGATAGTGAATATAATCGGGATGAATCACGTAGCTCGCGACTTTTCGATTGGCAGATCTATCTCCGCGCAATGGATTCAAGTTAAATCGCCCCAGAACCACTTCCAACATGTCGATGGGTACTGTTTCGTTACTGGTAGTTACGTGCAGTTTCATACAGTACCCCGCTGTAAAAAAGACATACGTATGACTTATATTTAGTAACGATCCAAACTTTCTATCCGGAGGCATCCTGTACGCCCTACCAATATTACATACTTCAAATGTGATACTCTGGAATTTAATTAAATCGCTTAATTTAGTATGACATAAAATACCTGTGTATGCATAAAAACATTTATATTGATACAGCGCCCAAATAACTCTTTTTATATACATCACAACAAGTTCTTAACGTACTGGAGATAATCTCGAGGAAATATTATGCTTAAAACAGAAAGTACATGCTCGTTATGTGTAAATACAAATAATAAAAAAAGGTCTGAAATAATGAAGAAGAGCTGTTAAAGATGACAGTGCGAAAATATGTATATGTAAATATTTGATATACGAATGTTTCGGAAATACTGCGCCATCGTTTACTAAACAGCGCATACTTTTCTGCGCCACGCTCGCTACTTCTTAATATTAATGGATAAAAATTATTATTTTACTAAAAACAATCCGGAAATTGTACGTAGGACTGGAAACTAACTCACATACAGTTAGTTCAATACATGGACTATGAAAATAATGACATTTCTCGATTAACATACCTGTTAATATATGTCTGTTTGTTAAAAGTGAACCACCACATCGAAACTTCTGTGTTCTTCGATACCCTCCTGTTTCAATAACGAAGATTGCGACTACCCACGGCCATTGGCCTGGTAATGAGGTCTCACCATCGGGGATCAGTTTATTTGTTCTATCGGTGTAGTAACCGGTAACACCGCATTCGGCGTTGTTATTGTAGTACGGATTGTCTATGCGGTAGCCACTCGAATTTCGATGCCACGGCTGAAAATCCTGAGGCAGTGGTTCTTCGTTCGGAAGGTACACAATATGCCCCACCTCAATATTGGCTATGATACTTCCACTAGCCCCTGACAATGCAATGGAACATATCTCTTAAATCCCACATTAACTCAGAATACGAAAAGAGTTTCATTTCCTTTTGAGAATATAAATAATTTCCAACCAAAATAAATAATGGTAAAATTCTTCGTACCTAAAGATGGAAAGCGATAAGCACGATAAAAATGAATTAGTGACCATTTTAATGAGAGTTTTACTATTTATCTCTTACGACACCAGGCAGATGCAAGAAAGAATTAAGGACTGTATTAATCGCTTCTTTTTCGTCGATTATAGGTATGTTATATTTGTACTTCATTTTTATCAAATACGGTACTCACCTGCGGGGCCGACACAATATTGCCGATTATTAAACCATATCGCGGATAATGTTGGCAATTTTGGGTCCGAGGGAAAATTAATATGATACACCAAAGATCTGCCTTGTCGAATAACTTGAATGGTGTCTTTTATCGGTCGTGCCAATTCTATTCGAAATACCCCATTCTAGAACGCAAAGATAATTAAGCTATTTCTAATGAATAGACAGATGACTAACGATAAATTCTCTTAAGAATGAAATTAACCAGTTGTGTGGGATTGCAAGGGATGGAAGGAGCGAGCAATAGTTGACTCTCAGATTCAATTGCTTGTCGAGCTTTTAATTGTGTTTACCCTTTACAAGACGAGGATACAGGCGACGATTTAAATTGAGCGATGCCGTTTACGCCCAGTTCGGCGGATCGCGTAGGAAATACGCGGAAGTACCGCGCGCGCGGTTCGCGGGAGAAGTCCCAAAAAAAACGAGACCTCGAAGCGAGCGACAGGCGAAGAGCGCGTAGGCCGCGACGAATGACGCTATCCCGCGCGACGCGACAGACACCGTTCGACAATTTTCTCTGGCAATCGTCACTCGATACCCGAAAGCGCTTATCACCCGGAGTAAAAATTCCAATCGCGACTCACAAGAACGAGAGAGCGGCGGGCTCGCCGGGCCGGGGTTTTATACCGTCCCTCTCCCTCCGGATCTCTCGAGCTTGAGAGTCGACAAAATAAAGCCGTACCAACAATTTCAAATGAAACCGATCGTCCGGACACCTCGAGAGACAAACAGTCGGCGTTCGCACAGCGTTAGCGGGCAATCAGCTGTTTTCGCCGAAACTGACTCGCTATTCCTCGAATGCTTCTGTCTCGCTTAGGTAGACGACAGCAAGAGAGAAGCGAAGCGAATATTTGCCTAAGACGCTCTCAAGGTGTACGGACAATCGAGCCGTCAGCCGATCGGGCAAACATCGCGATTCTCGTTTGTTCGGCGACGGTGTATAATATTTGTATAATGCCTAAGAATTTAGTTCGAGGCGATCTCGAACACCAGTTAAAGGTAAGCTTTGAGAGTACAATGCAACTACAAGGCGTAAAATTACTTTCGAGTTAAAATTATATGCGGAAAGAAATTAACGTTTTACAATCTTTAATAATAAAATATATAGTTGAATATTTCGCCTCCTTAACTAACATCCGCGATGTGGTAACACGTAAATCCTCTGACAGGTAAGCTATTTATTTCTATTTATTAGGAAATAAAATTAAGAAATGACAAACCAGACAAAAATAATTGGTAATTTCCACATTTCTTCCTCATCATTAAAGTAGACAAATTAGAAATTTGCACATTGCTTCCATTGTTACGGCTTCTTCATACAGGAAGCTTTAAGAGAGAAATCTAACTTTACTACGATGTTTCTTGAAAGTATTCAAATTATTCTTATTTCGGCTCTTAAAGCTTCCTCTATTAGGAAGCCATGTGCAAATTTCTAATTTGCACACTTTACTTTACTTTTTTTTCTAATTAGAAATTTGCACATTGCTTCCATTGTTATGGCTTCCTCATAGAGGAAGCTTTAAGAGCCGAAATAAGAATAATTTGAATACTTTCAAGAA